CCCAGTGCTGGGAAGGAGAAAATGAAGCAAAAGGCTCAAGAATTCCAATAAGGACAGGGAGGGGTCACTCACCCATTATGGTCACAGGCAAAAGATAAGCTCGTTAGGGTAAGAAAAAAAAAAGACATCATGTTAATTCAAAACACTAACAACAATGACACAACAGACAGAATGCCTTAAAAACACCTTCCCCCACCCCTCCCTTCTTCCTGGGATCAGTTTTGTTCCCAATATCTCTACCTCCTCCCTCAGTGGCACAGGATGGGGGGTGCAGATAGTTTGCCGCTTCTCCCTGCAAGGGGGGGAAAACACTCTTCCTCATTCTTCCCCCTGTACCACGTGGCTCCCCTCTCATGGGAGACAGTCCTCCACAAGCTTTCTCCATCTTTAGTCCTCCCCATAGAATGCATTCTTCTCAAGATGCTTCAGCGTGTGTCACCTCCACATGTTGCAGTCCTCCCAATGCCAAACTACAACAGCAGGGCCTTCTTCCCATATAGTCCTGGGGGTCCTCCACAGGCCACAGGAGTATCTCTGCTCTTTCAGTGACCTCCATGAGTGGCAGTTGGGGGGTCTCCCTGCCATCTCACCACAGGGGGGGCTCTCTGCTCCAGCACACCTTTTCCCCTTCCTCCTCCCTCCTTCCACTGACCTCAGTGTTCGCATAGGTATCCTTCTCATAATACCTCCTCACAAGTCCCCCAACTCTCTCTCAGGTTCCCCTTCTTAAATGCATTATAGCTGAGATGCAGCCACATCATTAATTGGCTCAGCCTTGGCCATAGGTAGGTCTGACTTTGAGCCAGGGGAGCTTTTGATAAGCTTCTCACAGGGGCCACCACAGTATTCCCCTCCCCTGCTACCAAAAACTCTGCCACACAAACCTAGCACACCATGGAAAATTTCTGCATCCTCAACAAATTTTAGCAAGGACTTTCAGAGCTCTATCATCCATGGTACATCATTTGTTCTGAGCCTGGATCCACCAGTTTAATTTCTATTTCTTTATATTACATTTCTCTATTAAATAAATGTTCCTCCTGCCTTCTCCACACACCCTTGATTTTACACACCTCTATCATAATGTATTGGGTTTATGTGGCAAAGTTTTGGTAACTGGGCTGCAAGAGTGGCTTCTCTGAGAAGATGCCAGAAGCTACTCTCATGTGATACAGAGCCAGTGTCACCAGCTCCAAGACTGACCCCACCACTGGCCAAGGCTAAGCCCATCAGCAGTAGCATGTCTATGATAACATACTTAAGAAAGGGTAAGAAAAGCTGTGCAACAGCTGTGTGTGAGAGAGAGTGAGAAAATGTGAGAGAAAGAGTCCTGCAGACACAAAGGTCAGTGAAGAAGAAGGAGTGGGGGTGTTCCAGGCACCTCTGATCTCTACTTCACAGCAGAGATTCCCCTGCAGTCCATGAAGAAGACTGTGGTGGAGCAGACTGTTCCCCTGCTAGCCCACAGATGACCACAGTGGAGCAGATATTCACACTGCAGCCCATGGGGGACCCCACACCGGAGCAGGTGAATGTGCCCTTAGAGAAGCTTCAGCCCGTATAGAGCCTATGCAGGAGCAGGCTCCTGGCAGCAGCTGAGGCCCATGGGGCACACACACTGGAGCAGTCTATTCGTGAAGGACTGCACCATGTGGAAGGGACCCATGCTGGAGCAGTTCATGAAGAACTGTGTTGGGAGATAATGGACATATGAGCAATCCTGCATGTGTGCATGCCTCGGCAAGGACATGACAAGGACATAGCCCTGAAGGGAGAATTCAGAAAACAAACAACTCCAGGAGATGGGTTGGGCGGAGAAAGACATTGAGTTTGGGGCTTATTATCCAATCGCAAGAAGGCTTGAAGAGCGTGGACAAAGCTGACTATCCAATCATAAGGATTGTACCACATACCATTCATGTGCACAGGAGAAAGCATTATAAAAGGGCTTGTTTACCTTCAATAAATTGACATTATTTGATCATACTGGTTGTGTGTGTGTCCATATCTCCTGCAAAATGGTGTCCATACAGAGACCCTCAAGATTGACACAAATCTTCAATGAGGACTTGACAGAGGTGCAATCTAGGGTGGAAAGCTGGTCGAAACTAATTGAGACTCTGCCCCAGAGTCTGAAGGTGAGAAGCAGTGCGCTGTAATTTGGGTTGAAGATCCACGAAAAGAAGCGGCAGCCGGGGAAGAATGGGGTCTACACTCAATAAAGACCAGCAAGTAGTGGTGAAAGTCCTCCGAAATATCCTCTCCATGAGAGGGATAAGTCCACCCTGAAAGGCTTGGTAAAATGGAGCCGGGAAAGAGGACTTATCTCCAGTGCAGATCTCACATTTGAGATATCTAGCGGGGAATCCATAGGAAAACAGCTTTGGGACACAATCAGTGAGGGGAGAAGGTCAGCAGAAGTGAGCGGCTATCCCATGCTCTGGAAGCTGATCCGCCAGACAATGGAGGAGCTGAGTGGCAACCGCGTGGTTGTCGCTTCCACCTTTGCAGCTGTAGAAGTGGCTTCTAACCCTGATATACCGCTTCCAGTGGCTGCACCGTTAACAGATCCCATCGCGTTAGGTCAGCCAAAAAAGCCGTTTGCTTCATTAGTCGCGTTGGCGGGACTGTGACAGGCAACGGGGGCTAGACCAGGGGCTGCGCAGGTGGGAGCTGGAGATGCCAGAAGTGTGCCTGTCGCTGTGAGAGAGGGGAGTGAGGAGAGACTGGGGGAGTCGCTGGAGTCCAGCAATGGGCAGAGCACGGATGGGAACATGGGCGGAACCGACGTATCACCGCCTGCGCCTTCCTTGCAGGGAGAGAAAACCCCTGCCTCAGAAGTCGGCATTTCAAACAGAAAAACCTTACTCCTGCAACTTGTAGACAAGCTTGAAAAACTGGCTGCAACACAGGGGGAGAATATGGAGTACAAATCGTATACCTTTCATCTGACACGCAACCACAACCATCTGCTCCTGACCCGCCACCTATTCAGTTCCAGTACCTGCTTCTAATCCATTCTTGTTATCATCACAGGCAGAGGCTGCGCTTCCTTCGTCTCACCCTACCACTTCACATCTTTTTTCTTAACAGGTGCAGAGTGCCTCTGTGGCCATGCGCCGATGGAAAGGCATTATTAGAGATGCTATAGTGGAGGGGTCTTTTATTCCTGAAAGCGTACAAGCGTTTCCTGTTTCTATTAATAGTGTTAGTGTTACTAATGAATGGGATCCTTTAGACTGGAAACTGCTTGAAAAGGCTAGAGCTTCAGTAATGCAAAATGGTCTTCACCATCAATTAACAAAACAAATCATTAATTATATTTTTTCATCATCATTTTTAATTCCAAAAGATATTGATCAAATAGTGGCAGTTATATTAACTCCATCTCAAAAAATGTTGTTTGAAAGTGCATGGGCTAAATTAGCTAATAATGAGCAAGCTCAGCCGCAAACACAAGGCGATCCACTTTATCTCATTCAAGTGCAAATGTTGTTAGGTACAGGACCCTTTGCAGCAGTAGATCTGCAAGTCAATTTCTCTAATGAAGTGTTGTGACTATCTCAGTCAATAGATTGTCAAGCCCCAATGTCTGTACCTGATACAGAAGGGAAACGGCAAGATAAATTTGTAACAGTAAAACAAGGTCTTAATGAGCCTTACTCTAAATTTGTAGATCGCCTCTATGACTCTCTTGAACAGCAGCATGACATGACCATAGAAATGAAGGAAAACATGTTTAAATTAATGGCCTTTGAGAATGCGAACCCATCCACCAAGTGATTGTTAGTTACCCTCCCACAAGGAGCGTGTGTAGCTGACATGATTGAATTAACTGATAGAGGGATGCAGCAAGCTAATGTTACAGCTTATGCGGCTGCTGTGCCCAAGGTGGTTGCACCATTTTTCCAGAATAAAGAGGGGGGAGAAAACAGAAGGAAGAAGTGCTATAATTGTGGCAAGGAAGGTCACTTTCAAGTGCAATGCAAAAGTACACAGGTTGAAAAAAGGAGTAAAAATTATCATAGAGATAACCACCATGCTAAGGAGTGTAGAAAGCATTCAGGAAACTTGAGAAGGAGTGTGAATTCCTCTCGTGTGCAGACACAAATAAGGGGTGTATGGCAAGCTCAGAATCATGGACAGGAGGTGGTTTCCTGCCCAGTCTCACCTCTGCCACAGCAGGGAGTGCTGGAGTGGATGTGGAATAAGCAGCAGACATCACAATACAAGATCAGAAGGTCCACTTAGTGGATAGTAATGTGAAAGGACCATTAGGATTTGGATTAAGTGCTCTCTTAATAAGATCATCAACAACTCACCAAGGCATTCAAGTATTATTGGGAGTAATTGATGCGGATTATACTGGTGTTATAAAAATAATGGTTCAAACCCTAACCCCACCTGTGTTTATTCCAAAAGGCAGAAGAATTGCCCAGCTTGTGCTGTTTAAAGCCTGTGTTCCAAATATAGGGGAAGGTAATGGAGGGACTGGTGGATTTGGATCAACCAGACAACTGCAAGTATATCTCTCTCTTGATATAAACTGAGGAAAACCAGAATGTGAAATGGTTATCCAATCCCCTGATGGGACTTGGAAAAAATTAAAAATGTTGGTAGATACAGGGGCCGACATTACAATTATGTCAGCCCAACAATGGCCTGCCTCATGGCCTACCATTGTGGTGGCCACAGGAGTGTTTGGCAATGGGGGAGCCTAAGCCACCGGAATTAGTATAATAAAAATCCCATTGTAATTAAATTTCTTGATGGAGCTCAGATCACCATAAAACCTTATATGATGCAAGTTCCTATCACATTACTTGGACGAGATGTCCTAGGCCAGGTCAGAACAACACTGGTTACACAGCCTTTTCAGTGATGGCCATTGATGAGCAGCCTATCCTCAAACTTAAATGGAAAACAGAAACACCTGTGTGGATAGATCAATGGCCATTGAAACAAGAAAGGCTGCAAATTATCCATCAGTTGGTTGAAGAATAATTGCAAGCAGGCCACATCGTCCTGTCACAAAGTGCCTGGAATACTCCAATTTTCGTTATTACCAAAAGGAACAACCAATGGCAATTGCTACATGATTTAAGAGCAGTCAGTGCAGTGATGGAGTCTAAGGGATATTTACAGCCAGGATTACATTCTCTTTCCATAATACCAGAGTCTTGGTCAATATTAATCACTGATCTAAAGGATTTTTTTTTCACCATTTCACTTCATGAGGATGATGGGGAAAAGTTTGCATTCTCCACCATCTATAAATAACGCTGAGCCAGCAAAATGGTATCATTGGGTAGTGTTGCCTCAAGGGATGAAGAATTCTCCCACTGTGTGTCAAATCTTTGTTGCCTGGTCACTAGAACCAGTCAGAAAAAGGTTTCCCCAACTAATTATTTAACATTACATGGATGATATATTAATAGCCAGGGAACACATGCAATCGGAAGTTATATTAGGTCATTTACAAAAGGAACTGTCCAATAGAGGTTTGAAAATAGCCCCTGAAAAGGTACAGTCTACCTCTCCTTGGAAGTATTTAGGGTGGACAATAACCGATGCCACTATTCCTCCATAGAAATTAAAAATTAATACAGAGGTTCACATATTAAATGATGTCCAAAAAATTATTGGAGATATCCCATGGGTTAGAAATTTATGTGGTATTACCAATGATGATTTAAAGCCATTAATGCCATTATTGAACACTACTGTTCAAGCTGATAGTAAAACAACCTTGTCACAGGAACATAAAATTGCTTTGCAGAAAATTACAGATAAGATAGAGTCGTGTCATGCACAATGAATACAATTAGAACTCCCAGTGCAACTGATGATTATCAATAGTGAAGGAAATAGACAATATCCATTAGCCATCATTATGTAATGGAACTCAGAACAGAGGCAATCATTGAGAATCCTATAGTGGGTTTTTACTGCACACATCCCTAAGAAAACCATAACTACAAGAGCAGAATTAGTATCACAGATAATTATGAAAGGCAGACACAGAATTATTGAAATTACAGGCACTATCCTCAAACTGTTATTGTCCCACTAATACAAGAGTATTTAGAATGGTGGCTTAGACATTCTGAAGCATTGTAAGTTGCCCTTGAAGACTATACTGGCCAACTGTCTAATGTTTATCCAGCACATAGATTACTACCATTGCTAATGAACCAAGTAATTGAAAATTTTCCAATGCAATCAGAAGTACCAGTTCAAGGGTTAAGAGTTTTTACAGATGCAGGCAAAAAATCAAAGCAAGCTGCATGTACCTGGTTAGAAGGAAAGGAAATATCACCTCATTCAAGGCCAAAGAGAAGATTCATTGCAGACATTAGAACTCCAAGCAGTTTTGTGGGCATTTTTGTCCTGGCCGGATTTGGGATTAAATGTAGTGTCTGATTCACTCTATGTAGTAGGAGTAGTAAAAAGGATTGAACGAGGACAAGAAGTAAAAAATGAACGCTTAGGGAAACTGTTGCAACAACTAGTTCACACTCTTGATCAGATAAGTGTTTTCTACTTTATTACTCACACCAAAAGTCATCAATCCAAGGAGGGATTAGGCCAGCCTGGTCTGGACCCTCTCCAAATTTGTTTGCACAAACTAGATAATCTCATACTTTTTTACATCAGTCAGCAAAAATTTTGCATAAACAATTTAAAATTCCTCTTGCAGATGTGAAGGGCACTGTCGCCTCTTGCCCATCCTGTCAAAAAATAGAGCTTGGCCTGGGAACAAGAGCTAATCCACGGGGCCTATCACTATGGCAAATCGTTGTTACTCATATAGCAGAATTTGGTAGGTTAAAATATGTACACGTTGTTATTGATAATGGCTATCTGTGCTACAGCTCAAGCTGGAGAGACAACTAAACATGTTGAAAAACATTTATATAGTTCTTTTGCTGTACTTGTGGTGCCAAGAAAGATCAAACCAGACAATGGTCCAGCATGTATTTCTGGACGCTTACAACGCTTCTGCATCTTATGGGGCATCAAACACTGCACAGGAATTTCACACTCTTCCACTGGACAAGCAATCATCGAATGGGCTCATCAAATTCTGAACCAAATGCTTGAAAAACAAAAAGGGGGAATGCCAGGTATGATGCCAGCTGAACAATTAAAGTTTTATATGTTTTAAATTTTTTGAGGCTTACAGGAGAATGTAAAGAACCAACGATGATTCAAAGTTTAGCAGTAAAAGGTGACGCTGAACAATCTATGGGCACACAGCAACCATTAGTTATGTTCAAAAACCTGTTAAAGTACAATTAACAGGCAGAGGTTATATGTGTTTGCTTACAGATCACGGCTTGCGGTGGGTTCCATCTCGCTGGGTGCAGCCTTGGAAAGAAGGTCAAGCTCACAATCCTAAACCTTGCAATGGTTCTGACAGGGATTAATGCTCATACATTCTGAATGCATTAATTGACATCCCTTCCAAAACAGTAGGGGCCCATGTTACACAGGAAAGTTAACTGTGTTCACAGGATAGTTGAAGAAGTTGTTACAAGAGGGAATTGTTGTAATTGTTATGTTTGTCATTATTTTACCATGCTTAGTTTGTTGTATTAAACAATCATTGAAAAAAAAAAAAAAAAAAGAGGGGTATGTTGGGAGATAATGGACATGTGAGCAATCCTGAACATGCCTCGGCAAGGGCATGACAAGGACATAGCCCTGAAGGGAGAACAAAGAACTCGGCAAACAACCAACTCCAGGAGATGGGTTGGGTGGAGAAAGACATTGAGTGTGGCGCTTATTATCCAATTGTGAGAAGGCCTGAAGCGTGTGGACAAAGCTGACTATCCAATCATAAGGATTGCACCACATACCGTCCGCGTGCACAGGACAAAGCATTATAAAAGGGCTTGCTTACCTTCAATAAATTGGCATTGCTTGATCATACTGGTCGTGTGCATGTCCGTATCTCCCGCAGAACTTCAGCCTGTGGAAAGGACCAATGTTGGCTAAGTTTGTGAAGGAGCATCCTATGAGAGGAACCCCAGGCTGGAGCAGGGAAAGAGTCCAAGGAGAGAGGAGCAGCAGAGATGAAGGGTTACAATCTGACCACCCCCATTCCACACACCCCTGTGCTGCTAAGGGGGAGGAGGTAGAAGAGTCAGGAGTGAATTTGAGCCTGGGAGAAAGGGAGGGGTGGGGGGAAGCTGATTTGTTCTTATTTCACACTGTCCTTCTGTTATTAATTGGCAAGAAATTAAACTGATTTATCTAAGCCAAGTACATTTTGCCCATGATAGTAATGGGTAAGTGATCTCCATGTCCTTATCTTGATCCATGAATTTTTTAACCATATTTTCTTTTCTGTCCTGTTGAGAAGGAGGAATGATACAGCAGCTTGATGGGCACCTGGAGGTTAGCCAATGTCAACCCACCATACATATTCACCTTCAGCTGTACTTTTTCTAGGTTGAAGAGTCCTAATCAGGTCAGTTCAGTTCACAGGCAGAAGATACTTCATAGCTTGATCACCCTTTTGACACTTGTTGAGGCGTTCTCAATTCTGTTTACCTCTGGGGTATACCTACATTACCTAAACTTCATATAATGACGTGCTGCCAAAACTTGGATTTCTGAGGTGGCATCATTGTGTTATCCATACTCTAATTAATTACAGGAGAGAAAGAGTGCATGAGCTATATAGTTGTTCTTCATCTGCATTACTTTATACATATCTACAATTAACTTGTCTTGCCATTTCACTGCCTCCTCTTGTTATATCCTCCTGCAACTCTGTCATCCTTAAAAACTTGATTAACACCGAGCAGAAGAATTTATCTTCTAATTGCTCAACCTTTCATTTTCTTCTTTATTTCCTGTTATTCAGCATCAGTGTGATGTGACTGAACAAATACATTCCTATCACACAAAGCTGTTATATGAGAGGGTCATGGACAGCCTTTTCCTGTTCTCCCTCAACTGAAGGATGGTATAGGAGCAAAAAATACCCGTTACACTTTCTTCTTAAAATCTTCACTGTAATTTTTCAGAATTTTAACAAATAACTCCATTCTGGCTGACCTATAGGATTTGCTTCACTTCTCCACTGAGAATTTACTGCTGGTAAAATAGTATTCCTGCCAACTGACTTCAGTAATTTACACTTAGTACCACTAGGTATCGAAATATATAAGCACAAAGCAGAAAGAGTTCCTCTGAACATTACAACTTCAGATACAACAAAGCAGGAAAATCCTGCGAGTGTTCACCTTATCATGCTGTGTCTCAGTACCACAGCAAACCATAGTATCACTTTAATGAGAGATCATGCAATGGCAGGGCTCCAACCATTAACAGTAAGAGCAAGCAAAGCCCAGGTAACCTAGGAAAATGTAATATGTTATGTATTACTCATATATCATAGCTATTTTTCTGAAATGTTTATCACTATCATCAACACTTACTCTACAATCTTCTTTCGTATTTTGCATCACCCACTGTAGGCTTCCTTTCAAAGCTGTAGCTGTCCCTGGTGTTCTGTTCCCTGTCCTCTAGGACATCGTGAGCACAGCTCTGCTCTCTAGGTAACAGGACCTATAGCACTCATCAGAAGAGTGAAACAACCTTTCAACCAAGCAGTAAGAAATATTTAATATTTTTGTCTGAAAACAAGAAGTTTAATATAGCTGTTCTTTCAAAAATGTTCAGGATTTCTTTAATTTTGGCATTGCATTGGTTTACTTGAGACAGATGGAACATAGAGATATGCTGTAATACATGTGAAACAAATTCCTGGAGGAATTTGTTTTGGTAAAATGCTGATGTTACATTATATATCACAGCCCTCAAAGGCAGTTCTGGAATGTCATCTTTAAGAAGTCAACATAAATACAATTCAGTTCAAACATAAACCAAAGCAAAACCAAACCAAAACAAACCAAGCTCCACCACCAACTTCTTTCACTGCCAGTGGAACACTTTTATTTGAGATGAAAACACTCTGATTAATCCAGGCTGAATTGCTGGCCTACATTTTTATATAACTCAGAATAAACAGTCCTATCACATTACAGCAGTGCCCACTACTAATGTCTGAGTTAAAGAAAAATCATTGTGCAACTGTTAACTTCACTGTCAGGGATATGTAACAATGCTGTGAAATTAAGTTTAGAAAATGTAATTTCAGCTTTTAAAGAAATATGCTTTTTTTCTAAGCCCCCACAAACATCATAGTTAGATGGAGCCAGGTTTGAAGAGATCATAATCTCTAATCCAAACTATTCTTCCCTGCATATATCCAATTTAATTTTTAAAAAATTTAGGGTTAATGCTTTATTACGATCTGATTTGTTCTAATCTGTATCAACCTTCAGCAAATGAAAATTGCCTACTCAAGTGATTTATAAAGTGCTATGAAATACATGGGTAATAAACAGAACCATCCTGCTTTACCCCTTGGCCTCTCATAATCCTGAACACAGATTGATTTAAAAGCTTTGTGCTCCTTACCCTGACCTTAAGTAAAGTGCAACACTTTTCCTTCTGTATTTTTCCTTCCAGCAACTTATGTGCCTAGATGTGCCTCTTGTCATAAACCCAGAATACAGGGTCTCTGTGCACATCCAACAATATATGCTCGTTGTTTCTCCACTCCCATAAGCTATCTAACAAAATCTTCAGAGTACATTAGCTTGAAAGGAAACAGGGCCTTTGAAGCACATCTTGACAGAGCATCATTTTAAAGCATGTTAAAAAGTGTCAGGGCTTTCAAAAAGTGTTGTTTGAAGGTGGTGTAGTCATGCCAATGCATACTTGTGAGATATTAAGCTAAAGATAACTGCATTTCAGGATGAAACTGTATATACAATCAGATTTGGATTTAGTATCTTTTTAATTAAAATAGTTGGAAAGCAAATGGAGACACACAAATTGGAACTTGTGCTTTAAGACTTCAGTTTGTGGGGCTTAAGAAAATGCAGTACAATTTTTACATTAGGAATAATAAAAATTAGAATAGGGTAATAACAAGCAGGTAGTAGCGAAAGTAGATAATAGAACAATAGAATATTGATGTGTTATATACCTTGGAGGTATATAATCACATCTTAATGCCATTGATTCTACAAGCATTAGAGAACGGGGGGCTTTAAAACTTGTCTATAAACCTCCAAGGTGCTGGAATTCTACTATTATAAGCAAGTTTTAAAAGGTTATTTGTGTAAATAAACAAAACAACAACAAAAAACCCCACAAAACAAACAAACAAAACCAACCAAAAAAACCCTGGCAATGTGTCTTTTACTCCTCAGTGACATATGTGGTAAGAATTTACCCAGAATATATTTAGTGCATTTATCTTCAGGAATAATCTGTTTAATCATTACTGACAAAATATGAAATACATATTCTACTGACTAGGTTAAGAGACAGAATACTCTCAGAGGGTGAGCTGTAAATACATTAGTTAATGTCACATATTTATCTTCCTTCCTGTCACTTCAAGCATTCTTTTTTTTTCTGTTTCCAACTACTGACTGCACATAGGTAAATGATACCTACCCAGATCCACTTTCTCAATTAAAAGAAATATTGGAATTTTGCTAGCTAATTCAAGGAATAAAATATTATATCCATTTTGATCATTGTCTCTTTTGTCTTTAACTCCACCTTTGCCCCTCAGCTTTATTTTCCAAGTCTAACATCTCAATTCTTTATGGAGGAAATGACAAATTATTAAAACAAACAAACAAACAAACAAACCCAAAATTCCAAACACAGCTCTATGCTCTCATTCTCCTAAGGACTTGATGTCAATGAGCAGACTGTGAATAGTCACAACAAAACTAGAAGGCTGTAATTGCTAAGGACAGAGCAAAGCTAGCTAGCTAGTTTTTCTAACCCTACTACCATTAAGAACAACAGAACAGCAGCTTTGGCAGAGGTGGTAAAGCCTACTGTAAATCTTGGTTCCACACTTGAGCAGTTCAAATGACTGAGATCTGGGTTGGTCTTCACCGTCATCAGCTCTCAAATGGCAGCGACACCTTCATTGACAGTATAGATCTGCCCACATGCTCACTTCTACTTGCCATACCTGAATAGATGTAGGCCAGTTAGTAAGAAAATATCTTTAATTTGTTGCTGCATGACAACAGTTTTCACTCTTGTCCTGGAGCTGTGGCTCACTCAATAGCTGTGGTGCTGGTAAGGGCCAAGTCACTGCACACCAGCATGAGCAAGTCCCCTGTCCCAGCAGAAGCAAGAGAATTCCAAATTACCTTTCCAATTGTCCCTGTTGTCAAGCGTGATAAACATGATGAGTTAAAATCTCACAAGTAAAACAAAAATACAAGGTACAGGGTCATAAAAGTAATGTTTGATGACATCTTTAGACCAGAATC